CCTAGTCCTACTGGTTGATGTGAACCAAAAGAAAATGACTCAACCTAATTCCAAGTAACTATAAACACTGACATTTTTAACTGTATAACTCAGCAATAAGCAATGCGTACACTGAAAAAAATATAGCAGATTTTACCATACTCTGACACAATAATAAAAGTTTAGCAAAAAGCACCAGAATCTATGGTAACATGTATAATATTACCTATATGGTGACTACCACCAGAGTTCTGATGAATACTACTATAATTCTGGTTATTTTCACTAAATAGTATCACTGTGTAAAAAATCGAGTAGACCTGTAGTAGATATTACCATACTTTTTTTTTTTTTCAGTGTACTTTTCACTCTTTGAACCCTGAATTTTCCTGGCATTTTCGCTGCAGTCGGACACCGCCGCGCTCAGAGTCGGAGAACTGACAGAGTAATAAGTCATTTCCAGCTGAAAAATGAAAAGTTCCCATCGCGAAGTAAAAATTAAGTTTAATGTAAATGACTGCGAGCGTAATTAATAATTGGAACAAGGAAACTTATCACCGCCCTCCGAGGCCCCGGGCGGAGAGGAGCATCGAAGATAATTATTTTCTTTTTTCTTTTTTCTCCTTGTGCTCGTTTCGATGCAATCCGCAACTCTTTTCGCGGAGCCAGCCGAGGCGACGGGTTCATAGTTCAAACGCTCCAAGATGTCTCTCGAGCTCCCCGATGTTCTTCCGGAACCAATCAACTCCTTTCCGCTCCTCCGCGTGAAGCCACGCTTACACAGGAGGCGCGCGACGTCTACGCGAAGCCACGGTTACACAAGCGGCGCGCGACGCGAAGTTGACCGGGCGCGATGGTTTTGAATCTGCGCGTTGCCTCGCGGGCTGATTTTTGATGTTGATAGAGAAAACTATGAATGAGGAGTACAGCGGGAGAATAGGGTGACCCTGTTTGTTCAAAGGGATGGTTTTTTACTAAATACTGAGGAGAATAATGATGGACAAATTATACACAGTCAAATAAATGTTCTTGTTTTTGGTCATTCTGCACTGAAAAAAAAACACATTGGATCTAGAGTCCAGACTCGTAAAAATATCGACAAGAAAAAATACTCTTGATTCAATCGGATTTTTGCTTAAATCAAGATCCGAGCCTCTTAATTTGAGCGGATTTCCTTTTGATTTAAGCTTAAATCTGATTGAATCAAGAGTATTTTTTCTTGTCGATATTTTTAAGAGTCTGGCCTCTAGATCCAATGTGTTTTTTTTTCCCAGTGTAGGTCACTTTCAGGTTTTTTTTTTTTTTGAAGGGGGGGCGGGGGTCAAATCAACTAAAAGGCCCTGCTTGTTGATCGACAGAGGTTTTCGTTAAATTTACTAAAACCACAGGTTACTGTGGGACATCTGCGAGGATGAAGAAAATGTCCTGCTGAACTAATCTACTCTTGTTCCTCTCAATGTCACTCTTAGGTTGCAACTTGCGAGTGGCTAGCGGGTTGGACTATCATTAATGCGAGTCCATCCATTTTCTTTAACTTAACCCTAATAACGTGGATATATCTATAGTACAAACACGTACTTATGGACTGCTCTGCCCTCAGATATCTCCAATTACAGATCTACTCCCCTACAATCAACAGAAATACAAACCCACTTACATGCGATGAACCCAATGAAACTCTTCACCTCTCTTAATTTAAAAATCTAAATTTTCGTATATACTCTCATTTTCAAAATTATCCGTAAAGACGTTAATAGCCTGTGACGCTGAATGCCTTAAAATATACTAACTAACTAACTTGATTTTCACCTTAATTTTAGCGCTCTTTGTAAAATGTTTGCTCGTAAACTGAAAGGAAGCATGAGCATAAGGATTTGCGTGCAGAGGGGGTCGTTTTGGCATATATACGTCCATTTCACGACGTGTAACGCGTTGAAATTCCGTGTTAAGTCCCGTTTAATGAAAGCCATTCAGGAAAAGGAACTATGCGCGTATAGGTTTGCGTGCAACATAGTTCCTTTTAGCATATATACGTCCATTTCATGATGAACGTGTTAAAATGTTGTGTTCAGTCTAGTTAAATGATGCTTTCCTAGTAAAAGGAACCATGTGCATATAGATTTGCGTCCAGCAAAGTTCCTTTCAGCATGAATACGCCCATTTAACGATGTGTAACGCGTTGAAATGCTGTGTTGAGTCTAGTTAAATGATGCCCACCTATCTTTTCGATAATATGAGCGAAGAAAGAGCTCTCCTCTACCACCCTCGCCTCCTCTCTCCGAGCTGTGGGTCTTTGTGATGTGTGTTCTTTGGAGGTCAATAATATCACGGAAGGAAGTCGCTCATAAATATTTGAGCGCCGCCGAAGAAGCGATAATAAATAAAGAGCGCAGCGAGTGAAAATCAAGCTTGCAGGGAAGGACCTAGTCATCACGAGCCATAATGCTCAGATCCGTTCATCGCCACAGGAAATATTTTCTTGCTCCATAAAAATATGAAAGAAGAGCGAACTGTTCAAATCATCATTTAGGCTGTGTTTTTGGAATGGAGCGGCCCTCCAAGTAGCATTTTTCAACGGAAAACTTGGGATATTTTGAAATGGGCCTGTTGCAAACTTTTGCTAGAGAAAAAATAAGAGTTGTTTCTTGTAGATAATGCCTCAAAAATCACGATGAGCGCATCGGCAAAGTCTGAAATGCACTCATAACTTCACAATCTGCGTAAGAAATTTGCGTTTTTTTAAGCTTCCCGCTTCAAAAACGATACTACGGCATAGGTGAACATTTTGTTAGAGGAGTCGCTCCATCGTCGGCGATATTCATTATGGCCGACGCTTGCACGCAGTTCCGCGCGTAATTCAAGGAGAGTTCAAGGTCAATCAATTCGGGCGTGGAAAATATGAACGTTAACACACCGATTGTTATCTGGTCTAATCCAGTTCAGGTGTTATCTCGTCCCATCAAACGTGTTTTGGCGGATTGGCGTCGGCTACGATGATTATTGCCGACGATGGAACGACTCCTCTTACAAAATGTTCACCTGTGCCGTAGTATCGTTTTTGAAGCGGGAAGCTCAAAAAACCGCAAATTTCTTACGCAGTTTGTGAAGTTATGAGTGCATTTCAGAGTTTGCCGATGCGCTCATCGTGATTTTTGAGGCATTATCTATATGAAACAACTCTTAGTTTTGCTCTAGCAAAAGTTTGCAACAGGCCCATTATGTCGCAATATTTTGAAATTATGTTGCGATTTTTTTACGATTTTTTAAGTAATAAAATCGCTAGGATCATGAAAATCTAAGCGATTACACTTAATCCTATCGAAAAATCGAGTTCGATAAAATCGAAATTTTATCTCAATTTATCACTCTTTTGAGTGAAAATCTTGAGTCGAAGATGAGTATAGGAACGCTATCCAGATCTGGTGCTCCAGTTTTTTTCTCCAGCATACGTACTCCAAGACGGTTGTAGAAGTAAAAATAGCTGCAGTTGTAGGAAGGAGGTTGAATGCGATGACAAGGCTCACGGGACGTCTAGCGATAGAGCTGATCACGACACAGTGACAGCGGCGTTTAATATTGGCCAAGTTGTTGAAAAATTGAGCGAGTCTCTTAGTTCATGTTGCGAAATTTACCTCCGAAAACGACAGTGTTCTTTCCTTTTGCAAAACTTGCAGAGTGAATTAGTCAGCTCACTTTGAAGTATGGCTTTCTTCTTAAATTTAAGGGCATCTACAGTTCTGAGAAAACAGGAATTGTTAAGGAATGGCATCAAGTCAGTGAAATTAGGGGAGAGTCCGGTATTTTTTTTTTAAAAGACTGAAATCTTGAAAAATCTAAAAATCCCGACTCTGAAAAACATTAGCGCTGTCCTTTTAATCATACTGAGTTCAATTCTGGTTCGAGGGTCAATATTCCGGGAGTTCCACTCTGAATCGTGAGAAGAGAAGTAACTTACATATTTTAGGCATTTGTAAAGTTATCGCCAATAATGCGTCATTATCAGTTTCACGCATACAATTTGTTGATGTAAAAAGTCAAGAAATTTTGATAATTTTTCAGGAAAAAAATAGTTACTCAGGGAATTTTTCCCGTTGGCCCATTTCCAACTATTCGTAACCAAGATGTGGCCGGTGCTCTATTATTTTGGATCATCGCAGCACTGGTCGCGCTCCAGCGCGCAGCTCGGCTGTGCGTGCCTGGACAGTCAGAGCGCCTTCAATTATATGCGAATGCAACACGGACATCCGTTGAACCCGAATAGTTGCATCATGGTGTATAAACGAAATACCCTTAAAATTTGGCGCATGCGATACCGAATAAGGGTATTTTACACCTTAATTTGTTTCCAGAGTTACTTATTGCGTTAAGGAAAAAACGCCGTATGAACATTCGAGAGATGCCGAATTACCTTCCATAAAATGTCCATTTTTGCGAAAAGTTAAGCATATTTTTCTTTCAAACCTGATGTTTTAGATTGAATTGTCAACAAAATTGCTTGAAAAGCTAGCGGAATATTATTCTATATTTTCCCGAAAGTTATTTTTTTAAGGCAATATGGTAACGCCTGAAAGCACGTACGGCGTTCATCCTTAGAACGGTAGTATCGTGGCTGCATTCGACCACACAACGAGTCGACTTTGCTCTGACAACATAACGACGGTGAAACTACCAAACCACGTATCTCGTTTGCGGTGTTTAAAAATCTACGCTCGCATTTTATTTTTTTGAAGTAGACCAAATCAATATCATTCCTTGAAATTTTCACAGAATTTTCTCCGCACGAAGAGGAAAAATTACAGAAATTTTCAAGACTGGACGTTAAGTAGTTTTTCATTTAAAAAATAAAGTATGACAGAAAGTCTGCGACGTCGCAAACCGAGATACGTGGTCTGGTAGTTTCACCGTCGATAATTGTATTCTTCTGTATTCTATTCCGACTAGTATTTGATTTTACTTAGTTACTGATAAGCTCTGCAAATCGTCTCCGTTTTCTACATGATTCATTCTGTATTTGTTCACAGGTGACATGCACCCGAAGGACCCCTCGAACGACCTGGCGGTGTCGCTCAACTCCTTGCTGGTGACGTTCGCTCCGCCTTCACCCCCGGTCTTTCTGACGGACAATTCCAGCGTCATCACCGCCCAAAAAGGCAGCACTGCCCTTGTACCCTGCGTCGTCAGCAATATTGGCGACGGAGTGGTAAGTAACCAACTTCACACACATTCCACTCTAAAGCTCGAGCTTCATTGAGACAATCATTGTTTATCGTACAAATACTGCGATATTTGGACGTATTTCTACGAAACAGACCTATGCGGAGGTGAGAAATATGGGGTGTGCTCTAGAGAGCTGCATAAGAAGCAATGTAAAAGTGGGCGTGGTTCCTTTTGAAGAATTGGAAAAGCGGGATATTGCATTCTATCAAACAGACCTATGTGCAACTGAATGTGGAACTCATGAGCCGCGAGGATGGCAAGAGAGCGTTGTGGACAGGGCTCATGAGTTAAAGACTCCATCTAACGATCTCCCCCTCGCTTGAGTGCGCACTATCATTGCCGCTGACGTCACTGGCGCTTTATTATTCCCATTCACTCTTACGCAAAGAGAACTAACGAGCACACTCCACATTTCTCACCTTCACATAGGTCTGTTTGGTAGAAATACGTCCATTTATCGTCTCTTGGCTGACGAAAGGGCGTAACTACAATTTGAGATGAGCCCGCGAAAGCATTGAGTTATATGGACAACAGGGTTCATTGTCGAGTGTAGTTACGCCCTTATGTCAGGAAGGCGACGATATATCTGCCCTGCTAAGATAAAACGTCATATGAGCATTCATATATTGCCGAATTTCTCCCGACCAATTCCGTTTTCATTAAACGAAATTTGGCAACAGTTCAAGGTCCATAAGGCGTTTTTGCTCAGCTCGCGGCAGTCATGATGTAGATGTGTTTAACTATTTTCTTTATTTTCCACCAATTAACTGGATCGCAAGATTTGCCTGAGAATCGGGTCTTTCTGGAGAAAATTATCTTCGTCGAAAAATTGGTATGAAGTAAAAAACCCCTAATGCCAGTTTAAGTTTTTGTCAATAAGAATATATAGAATTTGCCCGATAAGTGATCGATAGACAGTTTTTCAACGTGTTCTCAAAATGTTGCTCTTATCTACTTATTTTCGGCAATCTCTTGACGGGTGGTAAGAATCTTACACTAGACTTCTTCCTGCTTTCGATTTGTGTCCGATCAAAATACCTTATCCACAAATTTACAGTTTCAGAGCATTTCCTCGACGATTTTTTGTCCGCCTAACTGTTTTGTCCAGTGGTTTTCGTCTACGCGTAAAATGAGCAACAGTGACTTGGTCTAAGCGTCATATTTTAGTCCGTTTGTAAAATTATATTGACAATATCAAAATTGACAGCAAAGGAGATGTTGTTATGATAACTCATTTTTTAAATGAAACGTTACTTTCTCCCTTAGATTCATCTTTTCAAATTGTCATCGGTGAATATTTGGTTTTAGTTCTATCCTTAAAATTTTCGATAAAAAGTATACCTTATATAAACTTTTACTTTATTTTATTTTTATATTAAATAAGAATATAACTTCTTTTAAAAACATTTACATTTTTAAAACAAAGCCAATATTTGTAAAACCTTTCCTTAGCCATGGCATCGATGTTAATCTCAATGAGCCGTAGTTGTGTTGAAAAGAACCATACAAAAATTAATGAAAGCGGAAAAAACCAAGAAACACGCAATCTTTGGTTTTAACACATTTAATTCTACATCGATCTTTTAGAGTCAAATACGTCCAACTTTGAGCGTTTGGTCGCACGTACACCACACTTCTGCACAGTAAAAGCACAAAATATGAAAGAAAAAGTTGAAGTGCTTTGGAAATCATTAAATTTGACACGAAACCACCTTAATATTTACAAAATACACATTATATTTTCCTTTAATACATATTATTTCCATACATTTAAATGAGAATAATCCATGCAGAGCGTGTTTACATTTCAAAATCATGAGTTGGAAAACACTGACTCCGCGAGTTTAAATATAAGAACCTATCACAGAGCGGAGTGGCGCCGACGTGCTGCCAGCGCGGAACGCGCACTGGCGCGGCGCCTACAAACCTAACAGGGATACTTCACACATTGCGCAATGCGTGAAGTATTCCTGTTAGGTTTGTAGGCGCCAGTGCGCGTCTTGAGCTGACTGGCCGCCCGCCGCGCCGCAGCGAGCCACGGCGCGGCGCCTGAAGGAAATATTTCACAACAGAGGTGTTGCACAGTAGCTTACGAAATTGAAGGCGCTCCAACGCTGCCTCTTTTTCGTGCAGTCGAAGTAAAAAATTACATTATTCTCTCACCTATCGCTGAGAGTGTTTCCGAAAACAATTGATTAAGTGAGCTTGGCAAAATAAATGTAATTTAGTGCACGTGCCATTATTTTAAAATCTAAAAATTTGTCATTGGGGCAGAGATTTTTTAATAAGAATTGTATTATAATACAAAAATTGTGGACATCACACATTGTGATTTCAGCACCAATTTTGCTACCCTTGTTTTCCCTGTTCCCTTTTTTTTTTCGTTTGTACATTTATGACGGGCATTTTTGTCGGATGAGGTCAAGCCCAACCTCCGTTTGTTACTGCTATTTCCTGCTATCCGCTCAGCTCTAGCCTTTGACTCTCAGAGCCTCATCCCTTTTCCTGCTCCCTATCCCCCCCCCCCCCCCCGCCTGAGAGCAATTTACCCAAAAGCCCCGAGCTCGAGCGAGCAACTCCCCGCGGCGGAAAAAGGGGAAAAGTCAGAGACACTTATGGTTGATTGGTGCGATATTAGCAGCTGAATTCGCCTCCCTTCTTATCTTGTCCCTGTCGCCGCTCAACCACCGCCGTGTGAGTTCGCGAGGGATTTATGACCTGACGTCACGAGTTGGGTTTTGATCCTCGGGCCGCGCCCGCTCTGCCATATTTCGGCCGAAAATCCGCGAAGTTGAACATGTTTTTCGCGGGGAAAAAAATGTTTTACGACGCCGGCGACGCTGGGAGTGCCTTTTAAGTGAGACGAGTTCCTGCATCCGTGCCGTAATGCGCGGTAAAATCTTGTTTACTTCCGTGCTAAGGAGGAACGTCCTATGGTAATTCAAACGTTGTCAAATTTCTCACTGTAAAGTCTTCTGGGGGAAATTTATGGATGATCATCGCTCAACTGTCTAGAGAATCGTGTTCGTTACTACGATATGGTGTGAAGCATCTGAATTCCTAAGGGAGGAACATCATTAATAAAGAATTTGCAGATGTCTAAAATTTGATGAATTTCGTGCTTCGTGGAAACTACCGAGTGAACTGAATGTGAGGACAGTCAGGACACTTTTGGTTCATGAATTGAAAAATTATTGGAGAAGATCTTACAAAATGATATAATATGCTGAAATACGTGTCTTTAAATGAAAAATTCCGCCAGATGACGTCTATATAGGCGGTGTATTTTCTCACTTTTAAATCTACTTTGACGCTATTTCCCATATCAGAAAAAAAAATTAGAAAAAATACTATGCAATCAGCTCTTTGAGCACTTTCAGATGAAGCAATAAGAAATCTGCATGCAAATTCTCCATTGCGCTTAAAAATAAAGATTTTTACCGAGAAAATGTGACATCATCCGGGTGATCATACGGCGTTTTTCGTTAGCGCGGGAGTTTTTGCATCTCGTGTCTCGTAAGTGATGGATATTTGGCGCGTATTTTACTGACGTCACACGAACGAGTTCGATTTAGTAAGTAACGTTTCCGGTTTCCAAGAAAGGGACCCAATTCGGCTAAGCCAGGGTATCTATACCACACGGAAAAACTGCGGATGGAATGGATAAGTAGAGATGCTAAAAGGTTCTATGGAAGTACGGAAATTCGAGATTTTCGCAAGCAAATGAACGGTTTCATCCAAAATGAGTCCAAATACAAAAAACATAAGACGCTGCCAAATTTTCTCCGATTTTTTATTTTTCAAAAATAAAATCAAGCAAAACTGCAACTTGAAATTTTTTCAATAAATTATTCACAATCCAGGGGTAAATTCACAGAATGTTTCAATGCGTTTATTAGTTAAGCGCTCTGTCAAAGGAATAAAGCAGGAGATAAAATCAGGCAACATGAAATGCAGTTCGATCGTTTTCTGTCAAAACCGTCCAACTTAATAAGATTCCCCCAGACGTATATAATTTTATCAAATATCAGTCAAATTTTGAGGATTTGAATCCAATCCTACATTCTACTCTCCAAAAGCCGGATTCTCTTTTATTTTATGTAGACGGCCTCATTACATCTGAATATATAAGGATATACATTCCGCATTGCGTACATTTGCCCCCTATTTGTCAGTGCAAGCAAACACGTTGTGCAGTCAATTAGATCTAAATCTGCATGAGTGACCAATGGTCACCTCTAAATCCGTTTCCTCTTGCAACTTCACAGACTTATAGAAAAATTCCTGTTTGATTTTTTCCCCTTCTTTTCTTTTTCTTGTGGACGGCATCATCACATCTAAACTTAATCAGGGTGTCTACAAGTCCTGAATTTCCGGAAAGTCCGGAAATAATACCGATTTTTTAATGTGGATCCGGAAGTACTGAAAAAGTGCGGAAGTTCCGCAAAAGGTCCGGAATTTTTTTCATTTGTTGGTCATTTTTGTCTCAATTTGAGCGAGAAATTCAAATCTCAAAATGTTTCGAATTTCTTCAAATGGAGGCACTGAAAAAGTACTGAATTTTCCTAGTGAGAGGGTATTGAATTTTTTGAGAATGTACTGAAAAAAAGCGGTCAAAGTACTGATTTTTGGCCCGCCTGTTTTAGTAGACACTCTGCTAAGGACATGTGTATTGCTAACATTTCCTCATAATCCTTATCCACCAATCACAAAAAAAGGTTCCAACGACCTGGCAACACTGTCCCCGATGCATCATAACCGCAGAGGTCCGCTTCGATCTGTTCCGGTGCGGCGCACCTGGTCCGCCCACCCGACGATCCGCCAAGTTTCCGCAACTTGCACCCCCCCCCGCCCTCTCCACCCCTTTACCGCCCGCGGGGGATGTTTTTCGAGTGGAGCTTAATCCGGATTAAATCTTTTATAAAACTTTATAATTGAAATTAAGTTTGATGAATGTAAGCTTCGGCGAGACCCATTGTCTGT